GCCTTGATCTTGGGCTTCCAGCCTCCAGAATGGTGAGAGAATAAATTTATATTGTTTAAGCCACCTAATATGTCATAACTCTGTTACAGCAGCCGTAGCAAAGTAATACAAGAGCACCCCAGGAAGCAAACCCCAGAGGCAGGAGTGTGTGGAGAAGTGAAGAGGCAGCGGGGTTTCACGTGATGCTGGATGACGCGGTTCTTAGGAGAGAGCCATGGAAAACAAGGTTAGAATAGCAGAGGGGAGGCCTCTCGTCTACCCACAGATGGCCTGGGATGCCACAGGAGGAGACTGGATTTTATTCCAAATTCCGAGGTGAGCCCATGCACCATGAGCAGACCACGCTCCAACGGGAAAAGGTCACTGTGGAAGGACAGGAAGGACACAAAGAATGGAGGCAGAGACCCAGCGTGGAGGCTGCCTCCACGATCCAGGTAAGAGCAGAAATGGCTTCTGGGATGGAGAGGGGTGCTGCCTGCAGAGATCATCTGTGAGTGTCTGGGGAATAGTCTGCTCTTTGGAGTGAGGAAAAAGTCAAAGAAAAAGCTGAGGTTTCTCACCTTGGCAAACTGGAAGACGACAATGCAATGAATAAAATGAGAGAACCAGGAAGACAGCCTTGCAGACGGGGGACAGTGTATAAATGACCTCTCTCTTCACTGGTCATGGCCATAGGCTGCCGGTCTCATTTAATTCATCAAAACATTAAAAATAATAATAATAAAATTAAAAAAAAAACCTTGCTGAAGTGATAAATGACATTGCTCTCTGTGCTTTTGTTCCCAAGGCAAAATGTGATTGTTGCTCTGCTTTCAACAGTCTGCTGATGTGTATCATTTGCTAATTTGACTTCCAGTGAGGTCTACTCCTAAACACAGTGTTTATGTGGCAGCCAGTTAATATTGAGTCTCTAACATAAAGACTGTGTTCAGAAATGAAGGATGGTGTGTTGCAGAAGATGTAGTTGAACTAAAATTCCGAATACCAGGAAATGACACCCTCTCCTTGCCTCCCCCTGCCACCAACACTCAAAACAACAGAACTGGAGGGTTACGAATGTTGGTGCCAGATAAGGCTATGCTCTCTGGTTCTTGGTAGAACTGGCTCATCTAGGCGTTCTGAATGGAAAAAAATAGAGTCTAACTGCTTCCTCCCCAATGTTTATATATCAAGACCCAAGCCCTGAGGGTCCTAATGTCTATGGACTTCTACTGACTTCTGACCTAGTGGATACTGAAGCAGGCCCATATGTCTCTTGATATTTGGGGAAATACCTGAACTAACCTCTTATTAAGAATCCTGGGGGACCAGGAGGGTAGGGACCAGGGAGCACTGCATGCTCTGCCCCTAAGGGGACACCTTTTCCAATGCTGTCCATGGGGCTAAGAGCCTGTCAGGCAATCAAGGGGAATAGTGAGGTTGGTTTTAGAAGGCTTCTTCCCTGTTTCCCCATTGATGCAACATCTGGCAATAAGATGCTAAAAGGTACCTCCAAGGGCCCTTCAGGTTCATGAGTTACAAATCACGTGACTAAAGTCTTCAGGTTAAATCTCATTGTTATTGATAGCATTATATAATCCAGCAGTCATCCTATTTTAGGAATGCTAATTTGACTTATTGAGTAACTGTTCATTTCAGTTCCCTTTTACTAGTGGCTCCTGCAAAGCTGTCAGTAAGAATTAGAGCTAATGTATTTTAGGCTCTGTAATGTTATAATAAAGTTGGCTGAGTCTTGTCTTTTTTTTTCTTCTCTAGAAACAATATCTTGAAAACTAAAGGACATTTGAAAAAATAGGCTGTTTTTCATCAAATAAAAGTGACACCTTTTTCTCTTATCTTGGTTTATGCTACAGGATAAATTGAAGATATCCTACTTGGTTGGGGTGTATTCATTTCACTCCATGCTTGTTCTAGCCATCAAAATTAAAACTAGTTGTGAAACTCTTTTTCAATAAAGATGGAGCAACAAAGACCTGATTTACCCCCCTGCCTGAAACACCTCATTCCAGATGGAGTATATGAAACAGTGGTTTTCAGATATTGAGCATCAGCAATACCAGACAGTGATCACTGAGGGAGGGGAAACAAACAAGGTGAGCCCCACAATTAGCCTAGAGAGTTTTCAGGCCGTAACAAAGCCTGGCAGTCTTCCTGGGTTGAGGAGATGGAGTCAGTCATCCAGGGAGGCCAATGTGGCTAGAGTTTGTAAGGCATGGAACTAGATAGGAGAAAGCTGCACAGAGAGAGAGGAACTCTGAAGATGTGTACAGGGTTTCTTTCCCTTGAGTCTTCAGCTGAATAGTGACCAGTGCACACATAAGAGAAAACCACTCAAGGCTGAAGAAAAACAATCCAAAAAGAATAGAGGGAAAAGTCCCTGGTGATCACATAGGGCCAGCAATACTTTGTGTTTCTACTAGTTAGAGTGGAAAAATCTTGTAAATCCTAGAACATCAAGTAGAGAAGAAATATTAGTCCTAGACAGAATACTGCTTTGATCCCACCTAACAAGCTTAAAAGCAAATCTCAAAAGGATAAAACTGTTTCTAAGTAACTTAACTATGTCACAGAATGCAGCTCAAGAATATTTAAGAATGCAAAAAGATTCAGCCCCCAAGAAAGTCAAATTCAAAATCTCAGGAATTCAATTAAAAAATTATCAGGCATGTAAAGAAGCAGAAAAATGTGACCCATAATGAGAAGAAAAATCAAGCAACTGGAAAAGACACAAAAATGACACAAATAACAATTAGTAGACAAGGACTTTAAAACAGTTATTATAACTATATTCAATATAGTCAAGGAGGTAAAGAGAATATTGAATATGTTGAGTAGAAGCATAGAAGAAAGTAGCTAAAGAAACAATGGCTGATTCTTTTCCTCATGAAAACTATAAATTCATAGATCTAAGAAGCTCAACAAACCCAAACACAAGAAACATAAAGAAAACCTCACCAAGATATTTCATTATCAAATTATTTAACAACAATTATAAGGAGAAAAACTTTAAAAGCAGCCAAAGAAAAAAAACATATCACAGACAGAAGAAAAAAAGAATGACACAGATTTCTTGCCAGAAACAATGTGAGCAAGAAGACAGTGGGGGAGCAAGTACTAGGAAATAATCTGAACTTAGGATNCGAGGGACAGCCGGGCACAATGGATCCCTTTAACATCGCAAACGGATGCGGGCCCCTGCTGCGGAGTTACCCGCTATCAGAAAAATGTCTTTCTGAGGCCAAGCCCTGCTGAGCTGGTGGCATCTGGAGGTTAATCAGCACCCCACGAGTGCCTGAAACACACACTTTAAACGACTGATTGTCTCTCGAAAGCTACCAAGCACGGGAAACTAAATGTGTATTTTCTTAATTAAATTCTCACTTTCTTGAAACACAATTTCCTCCACAGATCTTTAGAACTGAGTTTCTGAGGAGCATGGTGACTCTATCTGCCCATAGGCAAAAAGAAAATATTGCTGGGAAGCTGAAATGCTTCAGTGACAGGAAAAGACAAGCCCTGCAATCACCTGGCTGGGATGTGGAAGGTGAGATATGGCCAGAGTGAGTAGGGCCCCCATGGCTTTGTTCAGGGTGGGCGGAGAGTAAGGCTGTGAGAGCGAAGGGCTGGGTGCCTGCCCTCTGCTGCCTCTGACTGGCCCTTAGCCCCTCTGCTGAGGCTCTTCCCAGGAGGTCACAGGGTG